AGGGGATTGACTGGGAAAACCTGGAGCCCCATGGGGGTCCCGAAACATGGAGAGCCGGATGTTGGGCGGGTGCTGGAAAATTATGCCCCAACATGTTTAAGGACCTACCCGGTGAGAGGGGAGGATGAACCAGCAAGATTGGACCTTGTGTTCACCCTGGGCAGCTCGATTTGGGGGCCAGATGAGAGCCCTAGGAGCTAGCGACCCTTGGGTTTTTGCTTTGAATACATAGTAGAGCTGCAAAATGGAGAGAAAAACAGGAGTTGAATGGGAAAAACCCGACTATAAAAGGGGGGACAATAGGTTTTAGAACTTCCCGGGGAGTCCGTGGGGCAGAGAACTGGCAGGAAAACAGCAAATGAAAAAGATGGAATTGTAAAAACAAAATGCAAGGGGCAGTGGAAAGGTTTTTTTCCCAAGGAACAGTAACAAGGGAAGACCAGAAAAAAGGCCCCCGGGTTTTCCGACGGTGTAAGGAGGCAAAAAAAAATCAATAAAATAAAAATCAAACAAAAAACCAAAAAAAATCTCAAACCAAATATTTTCCCCTAAAACCACACAAATAAAAAAACATACTCAAATAAACTCCCCAAAATTTTATCCCCCAAAAACCTCAAAACCTTTTATTTAAAAAAATAAATCACAAAAAAATTCCCTTTAATAAAAATTTTTTTTAACAAAAAAACAAAACAAAAAAAAACCCCAAAAAACCCCCAAAAAACCACCCCCAAAAAAACTTAATTATTAAAACCTCCCCAAACCCCCCCATTTTTCAAACTGGCGGCTTAAACCAAAAATCTTCAACACATCCTTGAAAAGGGGGGAAAAAACCTGAGGAAAGGAAAAGCAATGTGTCCCCATATTAAAGGGAAAAAAGGGGGGAAAAAAAAAGAAACGAGGCACTAAACTACAGACCCTTTTCTCTGACTGTATTTTGTGCAAAAGTCATGGAAAATTTCAGGAGGGAGTGGTCGAAAAACCTGGAAAGGAAAAGATTATAAATGAAAAACCAGATGGGTTTTGGAAGGGAAATCTTTTATCACAAACCTCCTGGAGTTTTTGACAAGGTAACAAAGTAAGAAAGAGAGATGGGGGGTGATTGCGTTTTCCTAGCTGAGGAAGGCCTTTGACACAGTTCCCCCCAAAAAGATTAGTGCAAAAATGGGGATCAGGCGCAGGGAAAAGGGAGGGCCTGCAATGGATAAAAGGAAAACTGACAGGGGGCGAAAGATTTATGGGACGTGAAGAGGAATCACGTGGGCGCCGTTAAGAGCGGGGTCCCAAGGGGTCAGTTCTAGGCCAGTGCTATTTTTTTTAAAATGTGAAACGACATGATGGAAGGAATGATTGAAGTTCCCTGTTGAGTGACGTGAAAATTTATGAGGAAAAATTAAATCGGGGGGATGAGGCAGGACTGCAAAGAGACCCGGGCAGGGGTGGGGAAAGTGGTCCGCAACGGGGTTTTTCGAATTCAACCCGCAAACAAAGTCATGAAGATTGGGGAGGGGGAAAAAAAGACCCCAGACGAGATAGTAGGTGGACAAAGACTACAGACTCACCAGGGAAAAGACCCTTTGGGGTGCCATAACCGGAATCACCGGGGGGCACACATCAACCCAAAAAACCCTGCGCACGGGGGGCCCGGCAAAACCCGAGATAGCTTCCCTACCTTTAAAAAGGAAAGTTCAAGACACTGTACACTGTGTAGTTTGGCCCATATTGGAGATGCAGCACCAGTCTGGAACCCCACCTGGTCAAGCCGTCAAGAAGTTAGAGGAAATAAAAAGGGTTTTCAAACAAGGCTGTCCCCGACTCAAAGGGAAAGTCGTACGAGGAAAGGTTAAGGGAAAACGGATGCGACACTGGAGGACGAAGGGTCAGGGGAGACTGAAAAACGACTACAAGATACTGCGGGGCTAGACAAGGTGGACAGAGATTGGATGTTCCCAAAAGGGGGACACAGGGGGGCATGGGTCACAACTGGAAAACTGAAGACTCGACGAGTCCCGGGGGCGTTAGGAAGTATTTCTTCAGTCATAGAGTTGTCAGCAAGTGGAATAGCCTAGCAAGTGAAGTAGTGGAGGCAGGAAAACCATACATAGTTTTAAGAAGAGGTATGACAAAGCTCAGGAAGCAGAGAGAGAGAGGATCCAGTAGCGATCAGTGAAGAGGCAGGGCCAGGAGCTGAGTCTCGACCCCTGCAACCACAATTAGGTGAGTACAATTAGGTGAGTACACACACACACACACACACACACACACACACACACACACACACACACACATAAAGGACCCAGGAATATAAAGACATTAGTCGAACGAGCAGAAAGAATATGCACATACAAAGAGGCCCAGCGGCAATACGAAAACGACATAGTATCGAAAGCCATGTCTGACCCGAAGCTATTCTACAGTCACATCAGGAGGAAAACAACAGTCAAGGACCCAGGTAATCAGGCTGAGGAAGGAAGGAAGGAGGGGAGATCACAAGAAACTACCGAGAAGTATGAGAAGAATTCATCATGAGATTTAAAGAAGTATTTGCAGTGGAGACAGAAAGGACTCCGGAAAGCCGAAATAAACCAGCAAGGGATACACCAGCAAGTGCTGGACACAATACACACAACCAAGGAGGAGGTGAAGAAGCTGCTGCTGGAGTTTTATCACAAGGTAACGGAGGTAAGACAAGAAAGAGAAAGGGGTGGGTAGATTGCATTTTCTTAGACTGCAAGAAGGTTCTTGACATAGTTCTACACATGAGATTAGTGCAAAAGCTAGAGGATCAGGCGGGTATTACAGGAAAGGCACTCATGTGGATCAGAGAATACCTGACATGAAGGTATGTGACGAGGTGTCAGAGTGGGCGCCTGCGACGAGTGGGGTTCCACAGGGGTCGGTCTAGGACCGGTGCTGTTTCTGGTATATGTGAATGACATGACGGAAGGGATACACACAGAAGTGGCTCTGCTTGCAGACGATGTGACTGAATCCTCGTTGGAGGATTCAATAGGATGAGGATCAGGCAGGATTACAAAGAGTCCTGGACAGGCTGCAAGCCTCGTCCAGCAATTTGGCTCCTGGAATTTAACCCCACCATTTACAAAGTCATGAAGATCGGAGATGGGCAAATAAGACCTCAGACAGAGTATAGTCTAGGGGACCAAAGATTGAAAACCTCACTCAAGGAAAAGGATTTTGGGGTGAGTATAATACCGAACATATCTCCTGAGGCGTACATCAACCAAATAACTGCTGAAGCATCTAGGCGCCTGGCAAACCTAAGAATAGCATTCCGATACCTCAGTAAGGAATCGTTCAAGACTCTGTACACCGTGTAAGTCAGGCCCATACTGGAGTATGCAGTGCCAGTTTGGAACCCACACCTGGTCAAGCACGTCAATAACTTAGAGAAAGTGAAAAGGTTTGCAGCAAGATTAGTCCCTGAGCTAAAGTGAATGTCCTACGAGGAAAGGTTAAGGGAAATCAACCTGACAACACTGGAGGACAGGAGGGTCAGGGGAGACATGATAACGCCATATAAAATACTGCGAGGAATTGACAAGCTGGACTGAGACGGAATGTTCCAGATGGGACACAGCAACAAGGGGTCAGATTGGAAGTTGAAGACCCAGATGAGTCATACGGGTGTTAGGAATTCTTCAGTCATAGAGTTATTAGTGATTAGTGACTTAGTGGAGGCAGGGTCCATACATAGTTTTGAAATGAAATATGACAAAGCTCACGGAGCAGGAAGAGAGTGGACCTTGTAGCGACCAGTGAAGAGGCGGGGCCAGGAGTTGTGAATCGACTTCTGCAACCACAATTAGATGAGTACACACACACACTCACACACACACACACACACACACACACACACACACACACACACACACACACACACACACACACACACACACAAACAGGGCCAGGAGCTGAGTCTCGACCCCTGCAACCACAATTAGGCGAGTACACACGTATAGTATGCAAAGTCATGGAGAAGACTATCAGATGAGTGGTGGAGCACCTAGAAAGGAATGAGTTTATGAATGACAACCAGCACGGATTCAGAAACGGGAAATCCTGTCTCACAAACGTACTAGAGTTCTATGACAAGATGACAGCAGTAAGACAAAAGAGAGAGAGAGGGGCGGGTAAACTGTGGTTTCTTGGACTGTAAGAAGGCTTTTGACACAGTTCCACACAAGAGACTAGTGTAAAAGCTGGAGGACCAGACAGGTATAACAGGGAAGGCGCTGCGAGTCATGGTAAGTGACGAGGTGCCAGACTGGGTACCTGTGACGAGCAGGGTTCCACAGGGGCCAGTCATAGGACTGGTGCTGTTTCTGGTATACGTCAATGACAAGATGGAAGGGAAAGACTCAGAAGATTCCCTGTTTGCAGACGATGTGAAGCTGATGAGGAGAATTCAATCGGATGAAGATCAGGCAGGACTACAAAGGAATCTAGACAGGTTGCAAGCCTGGTCCAGCAACTGGCTCCTAGAGTTTAACCCCACCAAGTACAAAGGATCGGGGAAGGGCAAAGAAGACCGCAGAGAGAGTACAGTCTAGGGGGCTAAGGGGCACGTCCTACGAGGAGAGGTGAAGGGAACTCGACCTGACGACACTGGAGAACAGGAGTGATAGGGAAGACATGATAATGACATACAAAATACTGAGAGAAATCGACAAGGTGGACAGAGACAGGATGTTCCAGAGATGAGACACAGCAAAAAAAAGGGTCACAATTGGAAGTTTAAGACTCAGATGAGTCAAAGGGATGTTAAAATGTATTTCTTCAGTCACAGAGTTGTCAGGAAGTGGAATTATCTGGAAAGTGAGATAAAGGAGGCAGGTACCATACACAGCTTTAAGAAGATGTATTATAAAGCTCATGGAGCACGGAGAGAGTGGACCTAGTAGCGGCCAATGAAGAGGTGAGGCTATGAGCTATGACTTGACCTCTGCAACCACAGTTAGGTGAATACACACAAGACCTACCTTAGGTTCAGTCTGCAAGGCCATAATGGCAAAGGTGCCAAGCTGAGCACAGGCACACTTAGTGTACTTGTCTGTAGTCTCCAGTATATAGCAGCCAGTGCTGTCCCACACACCGAAGTCACTCAGTGCTGGGTTCCACCACACACAGTACCTGTGAAGGATCTGCAACACCACCGTATACTGATTAATGCTGGAGGGTCGTGAGTAGTGCTGGAGGGTCGTGGTTAGTGCTGCAGGGTCGTGGATAGTGCTGGAGAGTCGTGGTTAGTGCTGCAAGGTCATGGTAAGTGATGGAGGGGCGTGGTTAGTGATGGAGGGGCGTGGTTGGTGATGGTAAGTGATGGAGGGTGGTAGTTAGTGCTATAGAGTCGTGGTTAGTGATGGAGGGTCGTGGTTAGTGATGGAGGATGATGGTTAGTGATGGAGGGTGGTAGCTAGTGCTATAGAGTCGTGGTTAGTGATGGAGGGCCATGGTTAGTGATGGAGGGTCATGGTAAGTGTTGGAGGGTCGTGGTTAGTGCTGCAGGGTCATGGTAAGTGCTGGAGGGTCGTGGTTAGTGCTGCAGGGTCATGGTAAGTGCTGGAGGGTCGTGGTTAGTGCTGCAGGGTCATGGTAAGTGCTGGAGGGTCGTGGTTAGTGCTGCAGGGTCATGGTAAGTGCTGGAGGGTCGTGGTTAGTGCTGCAGGGTCATGGTAAGTGCTGGAGGGGCGTGGTTAGTGCTGCAGGGTCATGGTAAGTGATGGAGGGGCGTGGTTAGTGCTGCAGGGTCATGGTAAGTGCTTGGAGGGGCGTGGTTAGTGCTGCAGGGTCATGGTAAGTGCTGGAGGGGCGTGGTTAGTGCTGCAGGGTCATGGTAAGTGATGGAGGGGCATGGTTAGTGCTGCAGGGTCATGGTAAGTGCTGGAGGGGCTGTGGTTGTGCTGCAGGGTCATGGTAAGTGCTGGAGGGGCGTGGTTAGTGCTGCAGGGTCATGGTAAGTGCTGGAGGGGCGTGGTTAGTGCTGCAGGGTCATGGTAAGTGCTGGAGGGTCGTGGTTAGGCTGCAGGGTCATGGTAAGTGCTGGAGGGGCGTGGTTAGTGCTGCAGGGTCATGGTAAGTGCTGGAGGGCGTGGTTAGTGCTGCAGGGTCATGGTAAGTGCTGGAGGGTCGTGGTTAGTGCTGCAGGGTCATGGTAAGTGCTGGAGGGGCGTGGTTAGTGCTGCAGGGTCATGGTAAGTGCTGGAGGGGCGTGGTTAGTGCTGCAGGGTCATGGTAAGTGCTGGAGGGTCGTGGTTAGTGCTGCAGGGTCATGGTAAGTGCTGGAGGGGCGTGGTTAGTGCTGCAGGGGTCATGGTAAGTGCTGGAGGGGCGTGGTTAGTGCTGCAGGGTCATGGTAAGTGCTGGAGGGGCGTGGTTAGTGCTGCAGGGTCATGGTAAGTGCTGGAGGGGCGTGGTTAGTGCTGCAGGGTCATGGTAAGTGCTGGAGGGGCGTGGTTAGTGCTGCAGGGTCATGGTAAGTGCTGGAGGGGCGTGGTTAGTGCTGCAGGGTCATGGTAAGTGCTGGAGGGGCGTGGTTAGTGCTGCAGGGTCATGGTAAGTGCTGGAGGGGCGTGGTTAGTGCTGCAGGGTCATGGTAAGTGCTGGAGGGGCGTGGTTAGTGCTGCAGGGTCATGGTAAGTGCTGGAGGGTCGTGGTTAGTGCTGCAGGGTCATGGTAAGTGCTGGAGGGGCGTGGTTAGTGCTGCAGGGTCATGGTAAGTGCTGGAGGGGCGTGGTTAGTGCTGCAGGGTCATGGTAAGTGCTGGAGGGGCGTGGTTAGTGCTGCAGGGTCATGGTAAGTGCTGGAGGGGCGTGGTTAGTGCTGCAGGGTCATGGTAAGTGCTGGAGGGGCGTGGTTAGTGCTGCAGGGTCATGGTAAGTGCTGGAGGGGCATGGTTAGTGCTGCAGGGTCATGGTAAGTGATGGAGGGCATGGTTAGTGCTGCAGGGTCATGGTAAGTGATGGAGGGGCGTGTTAGTGCTGCAGGGTCATGGTAAGTGCTGGAGGGGCATGGTTAGTGCTGCAGGGTCATGGTAAGTGATGGAGGGGCGTGGTTAGTGCTGCAGGGTCATGGTAAGTGCTGGAGGGGGCGTGGTTAGTGCTGCTGGGTCATGGTAAGTGCTGGAGGGGCGTGGTTAGTGCTGCAGGGTCATGGTAAGTGCTGGAGGGTCGTGGTTGTGCTGCAGGGTCATGGTAAGTGCTGGAGGGGCGTGGTTAGTGCTGCAGGGTCATGGTAAGTGCTGGAGGGGCATGGTTAGTGCTGCAGGGTCATGGTAAGTGCTGGAGGGGCGTGGTTAGTGCTGCAGGGTCATGGTAAGTGCTGGAGGGTCGTGGTTAGTGCTGCAGGGTCATGGTAAGTGCTGGAGGGTCGTGGTTAGTGCTGCAGGGTCATGGTAAGTGCTGGAGGGTCGTGGTTAGTGCTGCAGGGTCATGGTAAGTGCTGGAGGGTCGTGGTTAGTGCTGCAGGGTCATGGAAAGTGCTGGAGGGTCGTGGTTAGTGCTGCAGGGTCATGGTAAGTGCTGGAGGGGCATGGTTAGTGCTGCAGGGTCATGGTAAGTGCTGGAGGGTCGTGGTTAGTGCTGCAGGGTCATGGTAAGTGCTGGAGGGTCGTGGTTAGTGCTGCAGGGTCATGGTAAGTGCTGGAGGGGCATGGTTAGTGCTGCAGGGTCATGGTAAGTGCTGGAGGGTCGTGGTTAGTGCTGCAGGGTCATGGTAAGTGCTGGAGGGGCGTGGTTAGTGCTGCAGGGTCATGGTAAGTGCTGGAGGGGCGTGGTTAGTGCTGCAGGGTCATGGTAAGTGCTGGAGGGGCATGGTTAGTGCTGCAGGGTCATGGTAAGTGCTGGAGGGGCGTGGTTAGTGCTGCAGGGTCATGGTAAGTGCTGGAGGGGCGTGGTTAGTGCTGCAGGGTCATGGTAAGTGCTGGAGGGGCGTGGTTAGTGCTGCAGGGTCATGGTAAGTGCTGGAGGGGCGTGGTTAGTGCTGCAGGGTCATGGTAAGTGCTGGAGGGGCGTGGTTAGTGCTGCAGGGTCATGGTAAGTGCTGGAGGGGCGTGGTTAGTGCTGCAGGGTCATGGTAAGTGCTGGAGGGGCGTGGTTAGTGCTGCAGGGTCATGGTAAGTGCTGGAGGGGCGTGGTTAGTGCTGCAGGGTCATGGTAAGTGCTGGAGGGTCGTGGTTAGTGCTGCAGGGTCATGGTAAGTGCTGGAGGGTCGTGGTTAGTGCTGCAGGGTCATGGTAAGTGCTGGAGGGTCGTGGTTAGTGCTGCAGGGTCATGGTAAGTGCTGGATGGGCGTGGTTAGTGCTGCAGGGTCATGGTAAGTGCTGGAGGGGCGTGGTTAGTGCTGCAGGGTCATGGTAAGTGCTGGAGGGTCGTGGTTAGTGCTGCAGGGTCATGGTAAGTGCTGGAGGGTCGTGGTTAGTGCTGCAGGGTCATGGTAAGTGCTGGAGGGTCGTGGTTAGTGCTGCAGGGTCATGGTAAGTGCTGGAGGGTCGTGGTTAGTGCTGCAGGGTCATGGTAAGTGCTGGAGGGTCGTGGTTAGTGCTGCAGGGTCATGGTAAGTGCTGGAGGGTCGTGGTTAGTGCTGCAGGGTCATGGTAAGTGCTGGAGGGTCGTGGTTAGTGCTGCAGGGTCATGGTAAGTGCTGGAGGGGCGTGGTTAGTGCTGCAGGGTCATGGTAAGTGCTGGAGGGGCATGGTTAGTGCTGCAGGGTCATGGTAAGTGCTGGAGGTCGTGGTTAGTGCTGCAGGGTCATGGTAAGTGCTGGAGGGGCGTGGTTAGTGCTGCAGGGTCATGGTAAGTGCTGGAGGGGCATGGAATGGTTAATGATGGAGGAGGATGGTTAGAGATGGAGGTTGGTAGCTAGTGCTATAGAGTCGTGGGTAGTGCTGGAGGGTCGTGGGTAGTGCTGGAGGGTCGTGGGTAGTGCTGGAGGGTCGTGGGTAGTGCTGGAGGGTCGTGGGTAGTGCTGGAGGGTCATAGATTGTTTTGGAAGGCCATGGAATTATTATTATTATTATTATGATTATTATTATTATTTTATTATTATTATTATTACATTGAGATTAATCTGTAAATGTTGCCGAGTCTTACCGTCTTCTTTCTCTCTTGGTCGTGGAACTTGAGCGACCTGGTGACGTACGACTCAACGATGGTGTGCCTCAGTTTGAGTCTGATGGGGTTGTTAAGGAGAGCCTCAGGTGTGGGCTGGCACTCGTCTGCTGCCTTAGTGTAGTTGGTGTTGTTAGTGGTGGGAGGGTCACAGTCTACCCTGACTGTCAGTGTATGAGAGCCCACCTCGTAGTAGTCAGAATCCGGCATTCTCCTGCACAAGTTGAAGAAGGTGTAGAACAAGAAATGTATACTTATGAATGGTGTATAGTACCGATAAATTGATAAGATATATAAGTAATATTACAACCGTGAATGTAACACGAGATAAGAAAAGTACAGTGGTAATTTGTAAGTGATCTGTACGTAAGTATTGATAAAAAGTGGCCAGTCTCAGTGTAAAGCAAAGGTATGAGGGTAGAGATTTATATGTACAGTACACATAAATGCAATTACATTAATTATCATACATAGCAGTATATGTGTAGATTACCCAGGATAACTCAGTTAAGTCTGACAAAGTGATTTATTTCCATTGAGGTCCTTGTAATAATTATTGTTTAACCTTAAAGTTAAAACAGGTAAGTAATTTAACTATGTGAAAAGTAGTTACAATAAAGAGAGATATACTAGAGATAAGGTAAATTCACTTATGTATATTAATATTAAAGACAGGATCAGATTACAGTACATGTATGTTAGATATGTATGAAATCACTTTCTTCTCTTTCTGTAGCTAACATTCGTTAGGTACCTCTTAGGTACCTCTTGGCTCTCTGTTTGAACTTGCTCATGCTATGGCAGCCTTTGACATGTGAAGGTAATCTGTTCCACTCCTTTATTGTTATACAATAAAAGGTGTTTGAAGCCTGACCACTGACTGTGGCTACTACAAAGTTGTTCTCCCTTCCCCAGGACACTGGTTGTGTACAACACGATAGACCTAGAGCTATCGTTCTACTCCCCCGCTGTTGTTTTGATCCTGTATCGCTTGGTTTGCGATATTTGTATAATATAATTATATGAAGAAACCTCTTGTAAGAGTCGAAGAAGAATTAGACCTAATTGTGTCGATGCTTTACCAGATGAACCTGTCCTCCATATTCCATCCCCCCCACCTGCTACCTGGAGTCTACCTGGAGTGTGTTCCGGGGGTCAACGTCCCCGTGACCCAGTCCTTGACCAGGCCTCCCGGTGGATCCGGGTATGATCAACCAGGCTGTTACTGCTGAACCTCGAAACTATACAAGAGAAGTAGCAATTATACTTGCAACATTCAAGACAGAGCAGGTGCATCTTAACTCATTTACAAGACCCAGGAGCTATATAAACGGTTTAGAAAACCGACAAGTTGATAAATGATACACTTGTGAAACAGTTGGGAATCTTTTGTCAAGACTGATGGACTGAACACATCGACTCCAGGCTCAGGGACCGATTACCTCACATTCCTCATCTTCTACCTTTCACTGTATCGGACTGAAGAAATCACTGCGTGGCGAAACATTTCCAGATTCCGAAATGTTGCACAAGTGTCTCATTTATCAAAACCCAGGAGATAGAGCTCGGTCCGCTCAAGAGATCCAGGAGCTGGAGGTCACCTCCTTGAGTAGAGCCACAAAGTTTGAGTGAAAAACACAAACGAAGTCCAGCACCTATGGCCTAAGATCCTGGAAAGGTCCTGGAGCTGTAACCAACACCGTTACTTAGTTGTTGTAACTATTAAGGTTTAAATAATAAAATATTACAAGAACAACAATAGAAATAAGTTATTATTACTAACTTTCTATGGGGTTAACCTTGATAATTTCCACATATGTTAATATGTATTATTATACATAGTAACGTATGTTTTTAATGTTTTTGTTCCGATATTCTAGTATACTTAAGTTAGGTTTCTTTTGTTATAATGAACGGGAATAACTTTTGGACTAATACGAGAAGTAATTTTGGAAATTACAGAAAAAATAGAATCATTTGTAACTACTAAGATCCCAGAGAGAAAATAATTTGTGTAACTGTATTTATGTGTACAGGTTGTTAGGTAAGACACATATGCAACAGTTAGGTATCTTTATTTTGAAACGTTTCGCCTACACAGTAGGCTTCTTCAGTCGAGTACAGAAAAGTTGATAGAAGCAGAAGATACTTGAAGACGATGTAATCAGTCCATCACCCTTAAAGTTTTGAGGTGGTCAGTCCCTCAGTCTGGAGAAGAGCACTGACCACCTCAAAACTTTAAGGGTGATGGACTGATTACATCGTCTTCAAGTATCTTCTGCTTCTATCAACTTTTCTGTACTCGACTGAAGAAGCCTACTGTGTAGGCGAAACGTTTCATAATAAAGATACCTAACTGTTGCATATGTGTCTTACCTAACAACCTGTCGGTATTTTATACCATTTTAATGTTCATGTGTACTTGTACATAAATAAACTTAGTGAGTGTGTGTGTAATACTCACGCAACGTTGACCAGAGTGAAGGCTGTGAGGTCGTAGGTCCGGGACGAGATGACCTCCACGTTGATGGCTCGATTCCCACAATCTGGATCACTCACCAGCCCCACCGGCACTGTCAACACAGGCAACGATTAAGATAAGATTTCGTTCGGATTTTTAACCCCGGAGGGTTAGCCACCCAGGATAACCCAAGAAAGTCAGTGCGTCATCGAGGACTGTCTAACTTATTTGCATTGTGGTCCTCAATTTTGTCCCCCAGGATGCGACCCATACCAGTCGACTAACGCCCAGGTACCTTTTTGCTGCTAGGTGAACAGGACAACAGGTGTAAGGAAACGCGTCGAAATGTTTCCACCCGCCGGGAATCGAACCTGTGCCCTCCGTGTGTGAAGCTGGAGCTTTAGCCACCAGGCCACCGTGCCCTGGGTAATGCTGTGCTAGGTGTGGGGCTGGTGTGAGTTCTGTTCTAAGTGTGGGGCTGGTGTGAGTTCTGTGCTAAGTGTGGGGCTGGTGTGTGTGTGTGTACTGTGCTGTGTGGCTTGTGTGTGTGTGCTGTTCTAGGTGTGGGGCTGGTGTGAGTTCTGTGCTAGGTATGGGGCTGCTGTGTGTACTGTGCTAGGTGTGGGGCTGCTGTGTGTACTGTGCTAGGTGTAGGGCTGCTGTGTGTGTGTACTGTGCTAGGTGTGGGCGCTGTGTGTGTACTGTGCTAGGCGTAGGGCTGCTGTGTGTGTGTACTGTGCTAGGTGTGGGGCTGCTGTGTGTACTGTGCTAGGTGTAGGGCTGCTGTGTGTGTGTACTGTGCTAGGTGTGGGGCTGCTGTGTGTACTGTGCTAGGTGTGGGGCAGCTGTGTGTGTGTACTGTGCTAGGTGTGGGGCTGCTGTATGTGCTGTGCTAGGTGTAGGGCTGCTGTGTGTACTGTGCTAGGTGTGGGGCTGCTGTGTGTACTGTGCTAGGTGTAGGGCTGATGTGTGTGTGTACTGTGCTAGGTGTGGGGCAGCTGTGTGTACTGTGCTAGGTGTAGGGCTGCTGTGTGTGTGTACTGTGCTAGGTGTGGGGCTGCTGTGTGTACTGTGCTAGGTGTAGGGCTGCTGTGTGTGTGTACTGTGCTAGGTGTGGGGCAGCTGTGTGTACTGTGCTAGGTGTTGTGCTGCTGTGTGTGTTAGTTACCATTTTGTCCTAGGCACATGTCGATTAGACACTAGGCCTGTTGAATGTGTGTGTGTATATGCGTGTGCGTGTGTGTGTATGTGTGCAGTGTGCGTGTGTGGTGTGACGTGCGTGTGTGGTGTGTGTGTGTGTGTGTGTGTGTGTGTGTGTGTGTGTGTGTGTGTGTACGTGTGTGTGTACGTGTGTGTGTTAGTTACCATTTTTCTAGGCACATGTCGATTAGACACTAGGCCTGTTGTATGTGTGTGTGTGTGTGTGTGTGTGTGTGTGTGTGTGTAGTGTGGTGTGTGTGTTGTGTGTGTGTGTGTGTGTGGTGTGTGTGTGTGTGTGGTGTGTGCGTGTGCTGCGTGTGTGTGTGTGTGTGTGTGTGTGTGTTGTGTGTGTGTGTGTGTGTTGTGTGGTGTGCGTGTGTGCTGTTTTGCGTGCGTGCTGTGTGTGTATGTGTAGTGTTGTGTGTGTGTGTGTGTGTGTGTTGTGTGTTGTGTGTGTGTGTGTGTGGTGTGTGTGTGCGTGTGTGTGTGTGCGTGTGCTGTGTGTGTGTGTGTGTGTGTGGTGTGTGTGTGTGTTGTGTGGTGTGTGTGTGTGTTAGTTAGTTAGTTCCCATTTTGTCTAGGACTGTCGATTAGACACTAGGCCTGTTGTATATGTGTACTGTGCTAGGTGTGGGGCAGCTGTGTGTACTGTGCTAGGCGTGGGGCAGCTGTGTGTACTGTGCTAGGTGTGGGGCAGCTGTGTGTACTGTGCTAGGTGTTGTGCTGCTGTGTGTACTGTGTTAGGCGTTGTGAGGTCCTTTTACCAGTGATGGGTTGTACAAGTGTCGAGCTGTACCAGTGTTGTGTTGTACCAGTGTTGCGTTGTACCAGTCTTGTGTTGTACAAATGTGTTTTACCGGTGTTGGGTTGTACCGGTGTTGGGTTGTACCAGTGTTGGGTTAAACCAGTGTTGGACTGTACTGGCGTTGTGTTGTTCTACAGTGGTTGTGTACTACGACTGTTGTGTTCGGTACTCCAGTTGGTGTAGAGTACACAGTTGTTCAGTATTCTGTTTTGTTCATGACAAAGACTCCGTTCACAACTATCTCGTGTACTCAGCTTCCAGACGTGTTGCTGTATCATGTAATGATTTACTTAATCCATATGTAAGTGAAACACTACAAAGTATAGCCTATAGTGTACGGTGTCAGTGTTACAGTGTATGGTGTAGGGGTGTGGAGATAGGACCCACCTGCAGCACGGTCGTACGGGTAGTCCCAGAGACTAGAGAGGCTCAAGGTGCTGTAGTTTGGCGAGACGATGAATGCCTGGCCACTCGCTCTCCACTCACTCAGGTTCCTCTTAATGGCCATCATCACTGTGGGAACAACACCTCACTCTCTCTCTCCTTCATGTCTGTTACTTTCTCTTATATCTGGTGTTCGAGGTACTATCAAAAAGTCCCCGGATTCAAATTTTCCTTGGCTTCCTGGGTGAAATATTTTAAAAGGCTTTTTTGGGCAAGATAGAACAAACATTAATTGAGGATGATGAACACTCTGGTCGGCCATCACCGTTAAAAACAGACCCCAACATTGAAACAGCGAGAAAAGTTATTCATGAAGATCGTCGTCTGAATATCCAGCGCATTACAAGTGCTGTAGGAATTTGTTATGGGTTGTGTAAAAGAATTTTGACTGAAAAAAATCAACGTGAGGCAAGTTGTTGCGAAATTTTTGCCCTGCTTGCTGACTCAAAATTATTTTCTGACCAAAAACATGGTGGTCATCCCCCAACCTTTCTGCTCCTAAGATCTAGCCCCCTGTGACTCCTTTCTCTTCCCAAAAATAAAAATGACACTCAAGATTTGGAGTTTTGAAGACGTGGAGAAGAATCAAGCAGAATCACAAGCCCCGCTAGACATCGTTAGGAACGAAGAGTTCCAGAAATGTTATGAGAAGCAACAGAGTCGCTGGGATCAGTGTTCAGCCTCATAAGGAAAGTACTTCCAGGGAGACAACTTCAACTACCTGATTAGATAAGCCTACATATATTTTTTTCGCATTAGTCAGAGAACTTTTTAATAGCACCTCGTGTAGTACAAATTTTTATCTATATAATAATAATAATAATAATAGTTATTATTATTATTATTATTATTATTATTATATCCCAGGTGAGCACTAAACCCTTATGGATCACAGAGTGCCTGATGGAAAATTTGATTCAATCAGTTTTGATCCATACAGTACCCTGTTGTCCAACACTGACGATACAGGAGCATCTCTCATCCATTCTGCTCCACACTGTACTACACTCTACCTACATTAAGATCATACTTGGTATACTAACAAAATGATTGTCGGTGACCTGGTAAAGTTGAGAGGGATGGTGGTGTTGACGTACCCGACCTGACGTATCAAACGTAGACTTTCCAGTTCGCTACTTTTCCCATCACCTGAGCAGAAACCAGCGTTGTCCTTCGTTTTGTATTGCCTCTATGTTGCTACGTTTTTAAAAAAAAAAAGGTTGCTCACAGCTCCATACATACTCTGAAATGGTATTATATATATTATATATATATATGTATATATTATATATATATTATATATATATATTATTATATATTATATTATTATATATATTATATGTCGTGCACGAATAGGTCATGAACTTGCGATCTTGCTTAAATAGCAACGTCATCTTGCCTATAGACAAGTGAAAATTTGTGTATGCAATAATTTCGCCCAATCATTCTGACCCTAACGATAAAAATATATTTTCACTGTGTTTGTTTAGTATTAAATTATTGTAACAAATCTAAACTACATTTAGTTGGGTAGGCTAAAAAAATTGTTCTTGTTTTATAATGGTTAGGTACGTTTTCTAAGTCCTTTTGGTGAAAATATAAATTTTTATATCTACATTAATGAAAAAAATATATCTTTAAACGTATAAGAGAAAATTTTAGAGAGGGCTTAATTTTAAATGAGTTCTTGCTAATTGACCAGTTTTGCATATTCGGCACGACATATATATGTCGTGCCGAATAGTCAGAACTTGCGATCTTGGCTTAAATAGCAACGCTCATCTTGCCAAATAGGACAAGCGAAAATTTGTGTATGCAATAATTTCGCCAAAATCATTTTGAACCTAACGAAAAAAATGTATTTCGCTGTGTTTGTTTAGTATTAAATTACTGTAAATAAATCTAAAATATATATAGTTGGGTTAGGCTAAAATAAATTGCGCTTGTTATAATAAGGTTAGGTAAGTTTTCTAAGATTCTTTTGGTGCAAAATTAAAAATCTTTACATTAACATTAATGAAAAAAATATATCTTTAAACGTATAAGAGAAAATTTTAGAAAGGACTTAATTTTAAATGAGTTGTTGCTAATTGACCAGTTTTACATATTCGGCACGACATATAATATATATATATATATATATATAAAATATATATATATTTATATATATATATATATATATATATATATATATATATATATAGATTATAATATATATAATTATATATATATATATATATATATATATATATATATATATAACTATAATAATATATATATTATATTAATAGGTATATATATATATATATATAGTAGTAGTAGTAATAATAATATTATTAGTAAAGTGGTGGTGTAGTAGTAGAATAGAGTAGTAGTTAGTAGGGTAGTAGTGATAGTAATAGTAGTAGTAGTAACTTAAAGTAATAAATGTAGCAGTAGTTAACAGTGGTGGTAGTATGTAGTAGTAATAGGCAGTTAGTAAATTAATAGTAGCAGTAGTAATAGAGCAGTAGTAACAGTTAGCATGCAGTAGCAATAGTAGTAGTAATAGTAATAGTAGCAATAGCAGCAGTAGTAATAGTAGTAATAGTAGTCATAGTAATAGTAAGTAGTAACAGTAGTAATAGTAGCAGTAGTAATAGTAGCAGTAGTAATATGTAGCTAAGTAGTAATAGTAAGCAGTAGTAAATAGCAGCAGTATCAATAGTAGTATGTAGAGTAGTAGCTGTAGTAATATAGCAGTAGTAATTAGTAGTATAGTAATAGATAGTAGCAGTAGCAAAGTAGCAGTAGTAATAGTAGCAGTAGTAATAGTAGGGTAAGTATAGTAATAGTAGCAGTAGTATGTAGAATAGTAGCAGTAGTAAAGTAGCAGTAATAATAGTAGCAGTAGTAATAGTAGCGTGAAAATAGTTAATAGTAGTAGTAACAGTAGCAGTATAATAGTAGTTGTAATAGAAGTCAGTAGTAATAGTAGCAGTAGTATCAATAGTAGTAGTAATAGTAGCAGTAGTAATAGTAGTAGTAATAGTAGCAGTAGTAATAGTAGCAGTAGTAATAGTAGCAGTAGTAATAGTGGTAGTAATAGTAGCAGTAGTAATAGGCAGTAGTAAGTATAGTAGCAGAGCTAAGTATCAGTAGTAGTAGTAGTATAAATAGTAGCAGTATAATAGTGTAGTAATAGTAGCAGTAGTATCAATAGGGTTTGTAGTATATAGTAGCTAGTAGCAATAGTAGCAGTAGCATATAGTAGCAGTAGTAATAGTAGCAGTAGTAATAGTAAGCGGTAGCAATAGTAGTAGTAATAGTAGCAGTAGTAATAGTAGCAGTAGTAACAGTAGTAGTAATAGTAGCAGTAGTAATAGTAGCAGTAGTAACAGTAGTAGTAATAGTAGCAGTAGTAATAGTAGCAGTAGTATAGTAAGAGTTAGTAGTAGAATAGTAGCAGTAGTAATAGTAGCAGTAGTAACAGTAGTAGTAATAGTAGCAGTAGTAATAGTAGCATTAGTAATAGTAGTAATAGTAGCAGTAGTAATAGTAGCAGTAGTAATAGTAGCAGTAGTAATAGTAGCAGTAGTAATAGTAGCAGCAGTATCAATAGTAGTAGTAATAGTAGCAGTAGTAATAGTAGCAGTAGTAATAGTAGTAGTAATAGTAGCAGTAGTATCAATAGTAGTAGTAATAGTAGCAGTAGTAATAGCAGTAGTAACAGTAGTAGTAATAGTAGCAATAGTAATAGTAGTAATAGCAGCAGTATCAATAGTAGTAGTAATAGTAGCAGTAGTAATAGTAGCAGTAGTAACAGTAGTAGTAACAGTAGCAGTAGCAATAGTAGCAGTAGTAACAGTAGTAGTAATAGTAGCAGTAGTGATAGTAGCAGTAGTAATAGTAGCAGTAGTAATAGTAGTAGTAATAGTAGCAGTAGTAATAGTAGCAGTAGCAATAGTAGCAGTAGTATTAATAGTAGCAGTAGTAATAGTAGCAGTAGTTATAGTAGCAGTAGTAATAGTAGTAGTAATAGTAGCAGTAGTAATAGCAGTAGCAATAGTAGTAGTAATAGTAGCAGTAGTAGTAATAGCAGTAGTAATAGTAGTAGTAATAGTAGTAGTAATAGTAGCAGTAGTAATAGTAGCAGTAGTAACAGTAGTAATAATGGTAGCAGTAGTAACAGTAGTAGTAATAGTAGCAGTATTAATAGTAACAGTAGTAATAGTAGCAGTAGTAATAGTAGCAGTAGTAGCAATAGTATTAATAGTAGCAGCAGTAGCAATAGTAGTAGTAATAGTAGCAGTAGTAACAGTAGTAGTAATAGTAGCAGTAGTAATAGTAGCAGTAGTAGCAATAGTAGCAGTAATAGTAGCAGTAGTAACAGTAGTAGTAATAGTAGTAGTAATAGTAGCAGCAGTAGCAATAGTAGCAGTAATAGTAGCAGTAGTAATAATAGTAATATTAGTAGTAATAGTAGCCATAGTAACAGCAATAGCAGTAGTTGTAGTAGTAGTAGTAGTAGTAGTATTAGTAGCAGTATTACGGTAGTTTAATCTTTGTAGGTAATCAGGTTTGATCTATGAAAGACAAGGTTAACTTTAATCCCTTGGATCCAGAGCTCTTCACCAGGATAAAGGCATCTCACCCATTCTTCCTTCCAATCTCCTTGACGGTAGCGGGCCAGGGATGTACACAGCGAGCGTGGATGCTGCATCACTCACCAAAATTTTGTTGCACTGCGTTGCCGTGATGTTCTGCGGTGCGTTTCCTCCTTTCGTTATGGTGTTCACTACGTTGAGCAGTGTTTGGAAATCCGTGAGTGCTGTCGTCGGCGGCACGGCTGCAAGACAACGGTACGATAGTGTAAACCTTGATCATAGATACCGTCAAGTGCTTTCATGTTCCTCATACTAACGTAGTCAGTGACCGGCTTTCATATCCCGTACCCGAACCTAGTCAGTGACCGGCTTTCCCACAAAGTCGTCCAAAAATCCCTGACCGCAGAAAGAGGGAAGACGCAGTCAAGTACCAGAATCAGCCTTTGTGGAGATAATGTTCTACGCTAAGTAAGGTTTTTCAAGTTCTACTTGGAGCAAAAAGATGCATAATAAAGACATCTTCATTTTTTATTCCTGTGGACAGTATATAGCTCCGAGCTATGTAAATCCATGTAAACTTCAACGTGTACAGTTGTCTTTTAGGCATTTTAATCTTATTTTGTTGTGTTCAAGACCATTTGTTTTGAGCACCGGTTGTTATCTAACTTGAATTTTTGTTTTGGTTTTGCGACGCGTAAAAGTGTAAACTTTGGGCATATTATACCATCAGTAAGTAGGTACCCGCATGTCAGCCGGATAACGTGAGTCGCATCCCATGACGGGTGTTAGCATATATAACTCAATAAATGAAGGGTGTTAGCATATATAACTCTCTGAATAAAGGATGTTAGTACATACAGTGTTTCACTCGTAAGAGGCCCCGAGTTATCGTTTACTACAGACATAATATACAAGCAAGACAGTTGCAGCTACGAGAGTACCAACTCAGGGCCTCCCAAGCCTGTAAATTCAGCGGCGTAAAAAAAAAATAAAAAGAGTTTGTGCACTGACCCGTAGGGCTTGCCTGTGTGCCTGCCGTGGTGGCGCTGGTGGCTTGCGTGGGGCTTGGCATGCTGTTTTGCGTTGTTTGGTCAGCGATCATGTTCTGTAGCCCGTTGATGACTGTTGCTGCTGTCTCAGGGTCATTCATATCAGCTCCAGACACTTGACTCGCGAATGATTCTGCCGTCTGATTTGCGAACTCCCAAGCTGAAAAGTGGTGTGTCTACGTTATTTGCTGCGTACATTGTGAAATATTATTTTCATACTCATGGGGGGAGGGAGGGGATTAATTTTTATATTAACATAAATGAAAAAAATATACATCTTTAAATGTATAAAAGAAAATTTTAGAAAGGACTTAATTTTAAATGAGTTCTTGCTAATTGACCAGTTTAAATATTCGGCACGACATATATATATATATATATATATATATATATATATTATATTATATAAAATATATATATATATATATATATATTTATATATAATTTTATATTTATATGGAAAAGAATTCGTAGTTTGGAAATTAGGAGGAGGGACGAGACTACTAAAACTATTATCCGGAGGGTTGAGGAGGGGGTTGTTGAGGTAGTTCGGACATGTAGAGAGGCTGGAACAAAGTAGAATGACTTCGAGAGTGTATAATTCTGTAGTGGGTAGCCTGGGAAAAGTGCTGTTGGAGTGTGAGCAGGATAATATTTATGAAGGGATTTAGGGAAACCTGTTGAGGATAATGCTACAAGCTAAGTCCAAGATTAAACAGTGGACTATAGGGGGAACTTAGCTTAATAGACAGCTTTCGCCTACACAGCCATCCCGGCAGGCGATGTCTTGAGAAGCTGTCATATGCATCCCTCAATGGGCTGGAATAAAATTTATTGGTGAGTAGAATTACCCCTAGGGGTTGTTATGTCAGCATATCTCAGAACCGATTGCTGACTGGAACCATTACTCACATGTGTGGACTCAAAAGTCCATGTTTCACCGGGTACTGGTGCATTAATAAACACAAAAGGACATCCGCTGCACAGCCGACCTACCCTATCATGTTTATTAAACGTACCTGGGTTATTTGTAACTGACCCGTAGTTGCACCCGGTTATCCGTTGTCTTGACTGAAGCAGACGTGTTCTTTGAAGAATGTTGCACACACTCCATTAGGATCGCAACATTCGTTGTTACACTCTTCATCAAGACTTGTTCATTTATTCACAATCTTATCACTAAAGAAGCTGATCACACTTCTCTGTAAGTGTTTAGATTTTTTTTTTTTGAGACACTTTTATGCACAAAAATGCGCAGATCAGTGTTCTTTGTTGGTTATCCCAGCGTCAATGTGAGCCCTAGCAGGGTCAAAAGCAATCTGAAAATGCCACAGCCTCCTACGATGCCACTGCTCTAGCACATAAAGGAAAAGCTGACCTAGCACATTTCCCTTCCTTGCCAAACTTCCACTATGAAGCAATGCTGAATGTTTGATTCTTGCTGTCTTAAGAATAGACAACAATGTACACTATCTTTACCATGGTAATATAGTGGAGCAGGATTTCTTTAATTGTCCTGCTAAGGTAAGGGAGTAATGGTATCTTATTTAAACTACACGCTCGCAATAGTGGTCTCTTCCAAAGAGCCGCGTGACCATGTAACTGATACACACTGGTTAAACATCTGCTGGTAATTACTTGATGTAGTAGTAAACAAGATGCTTGCCCCTTCTGAGAGGGCTGGGCCCCTCAGGGCTGAAAAGGGCTGAAAGGGGCTGAAAGGGGCTGAAGGGGGCTGATACCCCCCTCCTGTAGAAAATTTCTCCACAAAACCGGCAGGCCGGACTTGAGTCCTGGAGATGGGAAGTACATTGTCTGCACTCTGAAGGAGGGGTGTTAATGTTGCAGTTTATTAAATACTGTAGCGTAAACGCACTTCTGGCAAGACAGTGACGAAGTGAATGATGGTGAAATGGTGAAAGTTTCTTTTTTTTGGGTCACCCTACCTTGGTGGGAAACGGCCGATGTGTTATACATACATACAATATATATATATATATATATATATATATATATATATATATATATATATATATATATATATATATTATATATATATATATATGTCGTGACGAATATGTAAAACTGGTTAATTAGCAAAAACTAATTTAAAAATAAGTCCTTTCTGAAATTTTCTTTTATACGTTTAAAGATATATTTTTTTCATTAATGTTAATGTAAAAAAATTTAATTTTGCACCAAAAGAATCTTAGAAAACTTACCTAACCTTATTATAACAAGAACAGTTTATTTTAGCCTAACCCAACTAAATATATTTTAGATCTGTTTACAGTAATTTAATACTAAACAAACACAGTGAAATATATTTTTTTCGTTAGGTTCAGAATGATTTGGGCGAAATTATTGCATACACAAATTTTCACTTGTCCTATATGGCAAGATGAGCGTTGCTATTTAAGCCAAGATCGCAAGTTCTGCCTATTCGGCACGATATTATATATATATATATATATATATATATATATATATATATATATATATATATATATATATATATATATATATATATATATATATATATATATATATTAACAAGTCGGCCGTCTCCCACCGAGGCAGGGTGGCCCAAAAAGAATGAAAATCCCCAAAAAGAAAATACTTTCATCATCATTCAACTCTTTCACCACACTCACACATAATCACTGTTTTTGCAGAGGTGCTCAGAACACAACAGTTTAGAAGCATACACATATAAAGATACACAACATATCCCTCCAAACTGCCAATATCCCAAACTCCTCCTTTAGAGTGCAGGCATTGTACTTCCCATTTCCAGGACTCAAGTCCGGCTATATAAAAATAACCGGTTTCCCTGAATCCCTTCACTAAATATTACCCTGCTCACACTCCAACAGCTCATCTGGTCCCAAATACCATTCGTCTCCATTCACTCCTATCTAACACGCTCACAATGCTTGCTGGAAGTCCAAGCCCCTCACCCACTAAACCTCCTTTACCCCCTCCCTCCAACCTTTTTAACCACGACCCCTACCCCGCCTTCCTTCCCCTACAGATTTATACGCTCTCCATGTCATTCTACTTTGATCCATTCTCTCTAAATGACCAAACCACCTCAACAAACCCCTCTTCAGCCCTCTGACTAATACTTTTATTAACTCCACACCTTCTCCTAATTTTCACACTCCGAATTTTCTGCATAATATTTACACCACACATTGCCCTTAGACAGGACATCTCCACTGCCTCCAACCACCTCCTCGCTGCTGCATTTACCACCCAAGCTTCACACCCATATAAGAGTGTTGGTACTACTATACTTTCATACATTCCCTTCTTTGCCTCCATAGATAACGTTTTTTGACTCCACATATACCTCAACGCACCACTCACCTTTTTTCCCTCATCAATTCTATGATTAACCTCATCCTTCATAAATCCATCCGAAGACACGTCAACTCCCAAGTATCTGAAAACATTCACTTCTTCCATACTCCTCCTCCCCAATTTGACATCCAATTTTTCTTTATCTAAATCATTTGACACCCTCATCACCTTACTCTTTTCTATGTTCACTTTCAACCTTCTACCTTTACATTCGCAGACGGGTGATTTCAACTATGCAAGACAAACCACGGTGGTGGAAATCTGTAGCTCAAGTACTTTCACACCTCTCAGTGCATCATCATCACGGTTTTCCTTAGAAACCGTGGAGGGTGACACATCCGCACTATGCTACCCTGAGAACTCTAGCTGCTTTAGTTGCTCTCTTGCAACGTTGCACAGCTTCTCATAATACACTGAGAAGTGTGAAAGTACTTGAACTACAGATTTCCACCCCCGTGGTTTGTCTTGCATATATATATATATATATATATATATATATATATATATATATATATATATATATATATATATATATATTATATATGCAAAACAACCACTGTGAAAGAATAGAAAAATTCCAAGCGCTTTCGTGACTACTCACATTATCGCTTGGAATTTCTCTATTCATTCACAGTGGTTGTTTTGCATATTCTGAAATCACCTGTTTACTGTGACCTTATTGCATATATATATATATATATATATATATATATATATATATATATATATAATATATATATATATATATATATATATATATATATATATATATATATATATATATATATGTCTTGCCGAATAGGCAGAACTTGCGATCTTGGCTTAAATAGCAACGTTCATCTTGCCATATAGGACAAGTGAAAATATATATATACGTATAATATTCTTGTGTTATTTATCAACTTGTCTGTATTATATACCTTCAGTAATATGATACTCATCTGACACAGCAACATCATAGTATCTTGGTACAATTGAGGTTCTTTGCCTCTCCTTTAGTAAGCAACTGGTTAGCACGACCTACTTGCACTCGTGGGCCACGCTCACCTGTGACGCCAATTCCAGCTGCTTCATCTCACCTCTACACTAATATATAAGATCTGACCACCTCCCTACGAGAGTGACGGACTGATCACGTCAATACTATCTGTATCCGACTGAAGAAGCCTTTTGTGCGGGCGAAACATTTTGGCAAATTAGATACCCCGGTGTTACAATTGCGTCTTATTTATCAACATGTAGGCATTGTATACCATCAATAACTAGACGTTGAACACAGTAACTCCACCACTACAATAACTTGACGTTACCTGCTACAAGAAAATATTAACACAAGAAGTAGCACACATGAACGCCACACTTACCATAACCTCCCGTGAAGTATAAAGTCTCTGTGTCGTTGAGTTCCTTGGTCCAGGTAGCGAGTTCGTCTATCAGAGCGTCGGCGTAGTTCCTGTAAGTGGTGTTGTCTGCGTCCATGTGGCAGCCGACCATCATCTGGGGCGGGTTGAGGGCGCTCTTAGAGGCTGCCACTGTCTGAGGCGACATGGTCTGTGCTTGCTTCTTCTGATTGACGAACACCTGAATTATTATTGTTAGGTTATTCTTCAAGACAGACTTCCTGAAGTGGGTCTTCATCTTGTGATGAACAGCCCAAAATATCGTAAGAAAAAGTGGTATCGTGAACACTGCCATTGTCTGAAGGGAAAGATTACGACCGTGACGCCACATACTGAACATGTTGATAAGTGATACACTTCTGCAATATTTGGGTATTTCTATTCTGGAAACGTTTGGCCACGTAGTGGCTTTTTCAGTCCAATGTAGAGATGGGTGGAAGATGAGGAGGAGTTTAAGGTAATCAGTCCCTCAGCCTGGAGTCGATATGTTCACTCCATCAGTTTTGACAAAGATTGAAGAAACCGCTGTGGGGCGAAACGTTTCCAAAATAAAGATACCCAAATGTCGCACAAATGTTTCGTTAATCAAGTTGTCGGTCGTGTCAACCATTTATTTATAAATGTACATCCTCAAGAACGCTTGAAAAACAAATAAATTTATTTTATGTTGTTTGGTGGTGGGTGAACTCTGCTGTACTGTCTTATTGCTGCATAATTACTACACTTATTATTGTGTTTACTACAGTGCTGTGTTGATGATCAACACAAGTGCTGCGAGAACAGTCAACACAAAGGTGATGAAGAATATACCAAGCTAATACACACACACATACACACACATACACACACACACACACACACACACACACATACACACACACACACACACACACACACACACAAGGAGAAAGATCTGTGGGTGAGTATAACACCGAACACGTCGCAGGAAGCTCACATTAACCAAATAACTGCTGCAGCATATGGGTGCCTGGCAAACCTGAGAATAGCGTTCCGATACCTCAGTAAGGAATCGTTCAAGACACTGTACACTGTGTACGTCAGGCCCATACTGGAGTATGCAGCACCAGTTTGGGACCCACACCTGGTCAAGCACGTCAAGAAATTAGAGAAAGTGCAAAGGTTTGCAACAAGACTAATCCCAGAGCTAAGGGGATTGTCCTGCGAAGAAAGGTTAAGGGAAATCGGTCTCACGACACTGGAGGACAGGAGGGTTAGGGGAGACATGATAACGACATACAAAATACTGCGTGGAATAGACAAAGTGGACAGAGACAGAATGTTCCAGAGATGTGACACAGAAACAAGGGGTCACAATTGTAAGTTGAAGAATCAGATGAGCCAAACAGATGTTAGAAAGTGTTTCTTCAGCCACAGAGTTGTTAGGAAGTAGAATAGCCTGGCAAGTGATGTAGTGGAGGCAGGGACCATACATAGTTTTAAGGCGAGGTATGATAAAGCTCATGGAGCAGGGAGAGGGAGGACCCAGTAGCGGTCAGTGAAGAGGCGGGGCCAGGAGCTGAGTCTCGACCCCTGCAACCACAATTAGGCGAGTACAATTAGGTGAGTACACACACACACACACACACACACACACACACACACACACACACACACACACACACACACACACACACACATACACTGTCGATCTGAAAACTTTATGTCGGCTGATACACAACAGTTGTCTCGAGTCCACTATATAAAATCAAATGCAAGATAAATGAGAGAAAAAGACGAGAGACGTTGAAGGTTCCAACACACTTAAGTCTCGTAGCACTTAAGTCTCGTAGCACTTAAGTCTCGTAGCACTTAAGTCTCGTAGCACTTAAGTCTCGTAGCACTTAAGTCTCGTAGCACTTAAGTCTCATAGCACTCAAGTCTCGTAGCACTTAAGTCTCGTAGCACTTAAGTCTCGTAGCACTTTAAGTCTCGTAGCACTTAAGTCTCGTAGCACCTAAGTCTCGTAGCACTTTAAGTCTCGTAGCACTTAAGTCTCGTAGCACTTTAAGTCTCGTAGCACTTAAGTCTCGTAGCACTTTAAGTCTCGTAGCACTTTAAGTCTCGTAGCACTTAAGTATCGTAGCACTTTAAGTCTCGTAGCACTTAAGTCTCGTAGCACTTTAAGTCTCGTAGCACTTAAGTCTCGTAGCACTTAAGTCTCGTAGCACTTAAGTCTCGTAGCACTTTAAGTCTCGTAGCACTTAAGTCTCGTAGCACTTAAGTCTCGTAGCACTTAAGTCTCGTAGCACTTAAGTCTCGTAGCACCTAAGTCTCATAGCACTCAAGTCTCGTAGCACTCAAGTCTCAAGCACTCAAGTCTCGTAGCACTCAAGTCTCGTAGCACTCAAGTCTCGTAGCACTCAAGTCTCATAGCACTCAAGTCTCGTAGCACTTAAGTCTCGTAGCACTTAAGTCTCATAGCACTCAAGTCTCGTAGCACTCAAGTCTCAAGCACTCAAGTCTCGTAGCACTCAAGTCTCATAACACTCAAGTCTCGTAGCACTCAAGTCTCATAGCACTCAAGTCTCGTAGCATTCAAGTCTCGTAGCACTCAAGTCTCGTAGCACTCAAGTCTCATAGCACTCAAGTCTCGTAGCACTCAAGTCTCGTAGCACTCAAGTCTCGTAGCACTCAAGTCTCATAGCACTCAAGTCTCGTAGCACTCAAGTCTCATAGCACTCAAGTCTCATAGCACTCAAGTCTCGTAGCACTCAAGTCTCGTAGCACTCAAGTCTCATAGCACTCAAGTCTCATAGCACTCAAGTCTCGTAGCACTCAAGCCTCATAGCACTCAAGTCTCGTAGCACTCAAGTCTCGTAGCACTCAAGTCTCGTAGCACTCAAGTCTCGTAGCACTCAAATCTCATAGCACTCAAGTCTCGTAGCACTCAAGTCTCATAGCACTCAAGTCTCGTAGCACTCAAGTCTCGTAGCACTCAAGTCTCGTAGCACTCAAGTCTCGTAGCACTCAAGTCTCATAGCACTCAAGTCTCGTAGCACTCAAATCTCATAGCACTCAAGTCTCATAGCACTCAAGTCTCGTAGCACTCAAGCCTCATAGCACTCAAGTCTCGTAGCACTCAAGTCTCGTAGCACTCAAGTCTCGTAGCACTCAAATCTCATAGCACTCAAGTCTCGTAGCACTCAAGTCTCATAGCACTCAAGTCTCGTAGCACTCAAGTCTCGTAGCACTCAAGTCTCATAGCACTCAAGTCTCGTAGCACTCAAGTCTCGTAGCACTCAAGTCTCATAGCACTCAAGTGTCGTAGCACTCAAGTCTCGTAGCACTCAAGTCTCGTAACACTCAAGTCTCGTAGCACTCAAGTCTCGTAGCACTCAAGTCTCGTAGCACTCAAGTCTCATAGCACTCAAGTCTCATAGCACTCAAGTCTCGTAGCACTCAAGTCTCATAGCACTCAAGTCTCATAGCACTCAAGTGTCGTAGCACTCAAGTCTCATAGCACTCAAGTCTCGTAGCACTCAAGTCTCATAGCACTCAAGTGTCGTAGCACTCAAGTCTCGTAGCACTCAAGTCTCGTAGCACTCAAGTCTCATAGCACTCAAGTGTCGTAGCACTCAAGTCTCGTAGCACTCAAGTCTCGTAGCACTCAAGTCTCATAGCACTCAAGTCTCGTAACACTCAAGTCTCATAGCACTCAAGTGTCGTAGCACTCAAGTCTCGTAGCACTCAAGTCTCGTAGCACTCAAGTCTCATAGCACTCAAGTCTCGTAACACTCAAGTCTCGTAGCACTCAAGTCTCGTAGCACTCAAGTCTCGTAGCACTCAAGTCTCGTAGCACTCAAGTCTCGTAACACTCAAGTCTCATAGCACTCAAGTCTCGTAGCACTCAAGTCTCATAGCACTCAAGTCTCGTAGCACTCAAGTCTCATAGCACTCAAGTCTCGTAGCACTCAAGTCTCATAGCACTCACGAAGACGGTAACCTGCTTCCATCAACTGAAGATTACCCACTGAGCAGAGGAGTTGGAATTCAACCCCCCATTGTTCCCAAATTCATCAGGTCGATCAATACAGGCAGGCATACAGTGGCAGTCACACATACCGTGCACGTTTGTTAATTAAAATAATTAATTCATAGTTCCAACTTTCCTTATATATTAATTTTCTCCTGTGACTTATGTATCTGATGAAGAGGATCCCAGAAGGGGATTGAAATACAAACCAATTAACTTTCCGAGTTTCTGTCTCCATGTGGGTTATTACTGAGCATTGATAAGTGTTCATTACAATTTAGTTATCCAGAAGTTAAACATTTAAAATGGGACACAAAGTTCCCCACTCGTGTAGCTGCAGACGGCTGCGGAACGAGAGAGGAGTCGGGTTGCCTTCAGGCTCATGAAGGGTTCTTGGTCCAAGGAATTAGACCTACCCTATTTCTTGGATTAAAACTGTTTTTTCTCCCATCTTTCAGGAACCTTATGAGTTTAGTGTTTCCCAGCAACAGTAATAATGACTTAGCACTTACCTCGAGACCAGAGTCGTTGAGTGAGGGAGGAGCCCAACGTATGCCAATGTTCGTCCAGTTTCGGGTACCGAACTGACCGATGGTCGAGGCTTCCCAATAAAGGTTTCCAGTGGATAATAGAGCATAGATCCACACACCATACAGCGAGAGCCTCACTCCAGGGTGACCATTCGTGTCTCCTCCTGTATGAACACTCTCGTCAGTGTTATGGTAGTGAGTGTTTATAAGGCCACACTTACAATACCAGTTTATTTTAAGTTAATAAAGTGTTTATACATAAATGGGTGACACTTGCGACATGTTGAAGGCTCGTAACTCACGGAATCGTAATAACACGACTGCTAGCAAACCACGGTAGAGGTGGGGTTAGAACCCACGGCGGGTGAGTCTTAAAACTCCAGGCCAGTGCGTAAACCACTAGGCCAGCTGCCCAGCTGGCTGCAATAGGATTCATCCAACTGTATAAATATATCTAGTTGGATGAATCTTACTCTATCCAGCTGGGCAGCTGACCCAGTGGTTTACACACTGGCCGGGAGTTTTATGACTCCCGCCATGGGTTCTAACTCCCACCCCCCGTACCGTGGTCTGAAAGCGCATAGTTATACAGAGGAAGTCTATTCTGGCGACTTAGGGCTCAGACTAACTTAGAATAGCAGTAATATCAGAGGTAATTAATGCTAGGAATTATTATTCACTGAGGGACTGCAACTTGACATACCGACTGTGTAAAAGAATCGTACAATATTGACTGATAAGGAGTGATGTAAATATGGAAATGTTCACTATACTACAACTTGTAACTACTGAACTCGACCTCAACTGATGGTCAAGACTTGCAGCAAGATTAGTGGAGATTGTTATTCCAGATTAGTGGTGATGATATACCAAATTGAGAACATTGACTTAGCAAATTAGGAAGGCTAACTTAACACATTAGGGTCGCTGACATAACACTAAGAGCATTGACTCACCCGTGGATACAATGGTCTGAAACGTGGTTAAGTGTCCAGTCGTGTCGTTGATGCTGTCGAAGTAATTCTGTGTAATGTTTACATTGATCCAGACACTGAGACTGAAGCCTAGGGTACAGTTGGCAGGGTTGGCAGAGCACTGGTCGACCGTCACGTTGTAGCCTTTGTGTACCAGACACTGGTTAGAGAGACACAGTCCTGTTAGTTATCTGTATATATGCAGCAGCAAGGACCACACAACCACTCCACTACCACACAACCACTCCACTACCACACAACCACTCCACTACCACAAAACCACTCCACTACCACACAACCACTCCACTACCACACAACCACACCACTACCACACAACCACACCACTACCACACAACCACTCCACTACCACAAAACCACTCCACTACCACACAACCACTCCACTACCACACAATCACACCATTGCCACACAACCACACCACTACCACACAACCACTACACTACCACACAACCACTCCACTACCACACAACCACTCCACTACCACACAACACTCCACTACCACACCATTGCCACACAACCACACCACTACCACACAACCACTACACTACCACACAACCACTCACTACCACCAACCACTCCACTACCACACAACCACTCCACTACCACACAACCACTCCACTACCACACAACCACTACACTACCACACAACCACACCACTACCACACAACCACTCCACTACCACACAACCACACCACTACCACACAACCACTCCACTACCACACAACCACTCCACTACCACACAACACTCCACTACCACACAACCACTCCACTACCACACAACCACTACACTACCACACAACCACACCATTGCCACACAACCAACTTCACTACCACACAACCACACCATTGCCACACAACCACACCATTGCCACACAACCACACCACTACACACAACCACACCACTACCACATAACCACTCACTACCACACCAACTACCACACAACCACTCCACTACCAACAACCACTCCACTACCACACAACCACACCACTCCCCACACCCACACCATTGCCCACACAACCACTCCACTACCACACAACCACACCACTACCACACAACCACACCATTGCCACACAACCACTCCACTACCACACAACCACTCCACTACCACATAACCACACCATCGCCACACAACCCACTCCACTACCACACAACCACACCACTACCACACAACCACACCATTGCCACACAACCACACCATTGCCACACAAACCACACCACGTACCACACAACCACACCACTAACACATAACCACTCCACTACCACACAACCACACAACTACCACACAACCACTCCACTAACCACGCAACCACTCCACTACCACACACCCACTCCACTACCACATAACCACTCCACTACCACACAACCACACCACTACCACACACAACCACACCACTACCACACAACCACTCCACTACCACATAACTACTCCACTACCACACAACCACTCCACTACCACACAACCACACCACTACACCACAACCACTCCACTACCACACAACCACTCCACTACCACACAACCACACCATTGCCCACAACCACTCCACTACCACACAACCACACCACTACCACACAACCACACTATTGCCACACAACCAGTCCACTACCACACAACCACACCACTACCACACAACCACATCACTACCACAACAACCAATCCACTACCACACAACCACACCATTGCCACTCAAACCACACCACTAACACACAACCACCACACTACACACACTACCACCATACCACAACCGCACCACTACCACACAACAACCACATAACTACAAACACTACCACAAACCACACCACTACCCCACAACCACCACACAACTACACCACTACCTCAACCACACCACTACCACCACACAATTACATCACTACCACAAACACACCACTACCACCACACAACTACATTACTACCACAACCACACCACTACCACGCAACCTACACTCACACAACTATACCACTACCACCACACAACTACACCACTACCACAACCACACCACTACCACGCAACCTCCACACAACTATAAACCACTACCACCACACAACTACACCACTACCACAACCACACCACTACCACCACACAACTACATTACTACCACAACCACACCACTACCCACAACCACCACACAACTACACCACACCTCAACCACACCACTACCACCACACAATTACACACTACCACAACACACCACTACCACACAACCACCACACAAACTATACCACTACCACAACACAACTACACCACTACCACAACCACACCACTACCACCACACAACTACATTACTACCACAACACACCACTTCCATACAACCACCACACAACTACTCCACTACCACAACCACACCACTACCACACAACCACCACACAACTATACCACTACCACAACACAACTACACCACTGCCACAACCACACCACTTCCATACAACCACGACACAACTACACCACTACCACCACACAACTACACCACTACCACAACCACACCACTACACCACACAACCACCACACAACTACACCACTACCACCACACAGCCACACCACTACCACCACACAACTACACCACTACCACAACCACACCACTACCACACAACCACCACACAAACTACACCACTACCACAACCACACCACTACCACCACACAACCACCACACAACTACACCACTACCACAACCACACCACTACCACCACACAACCACCACACAACTACACCACTACACAACCACACCACTACCACCACACAACCACCACACAACCACACCACTACCACCACACAACTACACCACTACCACAACCACACCACTACCACACAACCACCACACAACCACACCACTACCACAACCACACCACTACCACCACACAACCACACCACTACCACCACACAACTACACCACCACACAACTACACCACTGCCACAGTAGGGGGGTTGGCGGCTCAGTGGCTTCTCAAAGAACGCCGCCTTTTCACACCTATGTGTGAAATTTCGCACCTATATGATAATGACCCTTCCGGTCCTGTGTCGCGCGCCCACCCGCGCCCGCGCGCCCACTCGTGCCCTTCCGCGCCCACCCGCGCCCGCGCCTTCTGCAGCGTCCGCCGGATCGCCCCCGCTCCCCGATTTTTTTTCCGATTTTATCGATTTTTTTGAATTTCATTTTCTTGTGCTCTCCATCTCCTTGGATCAACACCCTCCCCCACACCTCCCACCATTCACTTCTACCCTCTATGTCCAAATATTCCTGCTCTACTTCCTTGGATCAAGACCTCCCTCTCCATCCCCCCCGAGAAAAAATAATTTTCTTATATTCTCTAACTCCTGGGATCAAGTTTTTGAGGTTCCCCCCTATGGGTACCCCTCCCACTTGCACCCCCATCCCAAAATCCCTGCTCCACCTCCTCGGATCAAGTGTAAACCAGTAACTTGGTGTCATGCATGACGTCACCTCACCTGTGTTTACTCAGTGACGTCACGTGATGACCTCACACAGACCAACACCTGTGTTTACTCAGCGACGTCACGTGATGACCTCACACAGACCAACACCTGTGTTTACTCAGTGACGTCACGTGATGACCTCACACAGACCAACACCTGTGTTTACTCAGCGACGTCACATGATGACCTCACACAGACCAACACCTGTGTTTACTCAGTGACGTCACATGATGACCTCACACAGACCAACACCTGTGTTTACTCAGCGACGTCACGTGATGACCTCACACAGACCAACACCTGTGTTTACTCAGTGACGTCACGTGATGACCTCACACAGACCAACACCTGTGTTTACTCAGCGACGTCACATGATGACCTCACACAGACCAACACCTGTGTTTACTCAGTGACGTCACATGATGACCTCACACAGACCAACACCTGTGTTTACTCAGCGACGTCACGTGATGACCTCACACAGACCAACACCTGTGTTTACTCAGTGACGTCACGTGATGACCTCACACAGACCAACACCTGTGTTTACTCAGCGACGTCACATGATGACCTCACACAGACCAACACCTGTGTTTACTCAGTGACGTCACATGATGACCTCACACAGACCAACACCTGTGTTTACTCAGTGACGTCACGTGATGACCTCACACAGACCAACACCTGTGTTTACTCAGTGACGTCACGTGATGACCTCACACAGACCAACACCTGTGTTTACTCAGTGACGTCACGTGATGACCTCACACAGACCAACACCTGTGTTTACTCAGTGACGTCACTGATGACCTCACACAGACCAACACCTGTGTTTACTCAGTGACGTCACGTGATGACCTCACACAGACCGACACCTGTGTTTACTCAGTGACGTCACGTGATGACCTCACACAGACCAACACCTGTGTTTACTCAGTGACGTCACGTGATGACCTCACACAGACCAACACCTGTGTTTACTCAGTGACGTCACGTGATGACCTCACAGACCGACACCTGTGTTTACTCAGTGACGTCACGTGATGACCTCACACAGACCAACACCTGGTGTTTACTCAGTGACGTCACGTGATGACCTCACACAGACCGACACCTGTGTTTTACTCAGTGACGTCACGTGATGACCTCACACAGACCGACACCTGTGTTTTACTCAGTGACGTCACGTGATGACCTCACACAGACCAACACCTGTGTTTACTCAGTGACGTCACGTGATGACCTCACACTAGACCGACACCTGTGTTTACTCAGTGACGTCCACGTGATGACCTCACACAGACCGACACCTGTGTTTACTCAGTGACGTCACGTGATGACCTCACACAGACCAACACCTGTGTTTACTCAGTGACGTCACGTGATGACCTCACACAGACCGACACCTGTGTTTACTCAGTGACGTCACATGATGACCTCACACAGACCAACACCTGTGTTTACTCAGTGACGTCACATGACCTCACACAGACCAACACCTGTGTTTACTCAGCGACGTCACGTGATGACCTCACACAGACCAACAGGCATAACACTAATACACAATATTTTCATTTATTTATTTATTATACAACCAATACACTTTATTTCATATACATCCAACCAAAAAAATACAAATTCATTGAAAAAAGGTACAATTTATTGACTAAAATCAACATAGAGTAATTCTTCTTCTCTTGAAGAAATTCTGG